TTAAGCGTCAAATAGAGCAAGAAATTTAAGATCTTTACAGTGTGATTTGAATAACTTTAAAACTATAGAAAGAAAATTAATAGCACATTCTTCAGGTGTTTAAAAGTTGGAAAAACTAGATCAGATCTCCAGCAAAATAACCCAGCACAAATAAGGTAATTTAAATAGAAGCTAGAGGGGGAGAAGAGGGTGGTGTATTTTTGAAGTGACTTTCTAAAGCTGCTACACCTAAGAGAGATTGAGTGGAGAAGGAAAGGAGGAAGAACCAGCAGAGGCTTGAATGCTCTACAGAAATATTTTGGGAAGATCAGAGGAAGCACAAAGCTTCCTTTGGATAGTTTCCATGCTGGTGGTGTAAAACCCTGCCGCCCAGTGCAGGTGAGGGGTTGTGATCCGAGTGCATCCTGCACATCCTTCACACAAAATTAAACAGTACTACGCTGTGGAAATGGTTCTTAAATTGTCCCTCAACAACCACATTACAATGCTGCAACAGCGTTGAGATGTACAGGAGTGAGGTGTACAGAACCATCAGGCTTTCAACAGGCTCGTCTGTAACACAACGCGGCAGGAATGTCCTCTGCCGCTTACAGAAGTTTTGTTCTTAGCTGCATATTGCAATATTTGGCTTAGCTTCACAGGGAATTTCCTTCAGGGAGAGGTTCTGTATCTGTTGACATCTATTGGGAGAGATTATAGTTATGTCTGTAGTGAACATACCATAATAATGCTATTTCTTAAGCCCTGCAAGGAGTGTACTTTTTTCTGCCAGAGGATTCATTGGATTTCACTTTGGCAATGAGCTGACTCATTAGCTCCGTCTGTAGCTTTCAGTCTTTTTAGCCCATAATCCTGTTGCTGTCCTGCTAAGTGGCTCACAGGGCAAAATGGGAAGAATAGGAACTAATGTTTGGGTTTGTTTTTAATAACGTTTCTAACATGAAGCCAAGCGAGGCACACCACTACTTTCAAGAGTGCCAAATAGAGGAAACACCAAATACCATATTTTGACACCAATCTTCTGTCTGCGGTGAAGCTCCCTGTTTTTGTTAGCTTGGATAGCTACTGTAGTAGTCATATCTGACCTTTTATTTTAAACTTGTTTAAGAGCATTTATTGTAGGTACACTGGAGCTACTGATGAGAAGGACAAGAAACATCACCATATAAAATTCAGTGGCCAGTATATATAGTAAGCATTGGCTGTGTCTTCTCCTCAAGTGGACTGCAAGGCAAAGTGATTTGAAACTTGTCGTCTGAAACAATACTTGTTCCATTATATATCCTGTCAATTTGCTGAGCAACTGTGGCATCAGTTCAGAAGTTAAATTCCACGTGTTGGCATACTGCTCTCTGAAAAGAGTACACATTTCTGGTAACTCTTCCAAACAGACACTTTCCATAGTTTGATAACTGTCAGAAGATAGTGTAATAGTGTGTGTAATGGAGTGTGTTCATGTTGTGGCCAAGTCAATAGAAGAGCGAGCTGCCACCAGAAGAGGCAGTCCTGCTCCTTCCACAAACTCGGCTGGGTGCTCCTGTGCTTTGGATCCAAGACCCAAGTAACGACACAGTGAGTTGGTTCAGCTGGATTACCTGGCAGAACACTTGTCTCGGTAAAAACCAAAACTTGATAGGACAAAAATTCTGGTTTTTTGTAGTCAAAATTAGATAAGATTTTTTTTTTTTAAGTTCAGGTTATCTGCAGCCATCACAGGTTATTTGCATATGGAGGCTTTAGGCTTTAAATAGTCTTGATTCTTTGTCAAAACATGCACACAGTTTGACAGCGTCCTTCAAGTACAGGGAGGTGTCTGGTAAATTTGAAAGAGGAGTTGGTAGATGTTCTGAAGGACTAAATAACCTCGATGTGACCAAATTATTACAGACAAAATCAGTACCATCAGTTCCTCTAAGCAACAAGTACTGCCAGGTAGACAGTTTTAATTGGTACAAAGTAGTAGTTTAGTTTGAGACCTCTACACTTGGACAGTTAGGAACTATTTGTACATTTGCTGTTGTCGAAGAAGCACAGAATTACATGTCTTCCTTTGGAAACCTTTGTAAATAGTCAGGGTGTCAGCCTGCAGAATAAAAGATGCTTCTGCATCTTTCTCCTTGGACACTTACTGATTCTGCTGCCCTTCAACCCTGGGAACTTCAATCTACCTTTGTACTAGAACCTCTATTTATTTATTTTAGAAGTACATATTCTTACTATGATATATCTGTTCGTAATATAGAAAGGTTTGTGGTGTGGGCATAGTTCTCATCTACTGTATCTAATTGACACAAAACATCTTGGCTGTGCTCTTTTTAATTTTATCAATGTAGTTTTTGTTAACTAATTTGAACTAATTAAAAAGATAATGTATGGAGGTTCACATGCAACTTTAGAATTTCACATTTTGTACTTCTGCTGTAAACCAAAATACCTAAATGTCACTGAGGACTGAATTTTACTGTCATTGTTTTGAAACCCTAGCTGTGCTCTCCTGCCTTTCCATGATGAGTCACAAAAACGTGCTTCTGTCCTATCTGCCTGAAAAGGTACAAATCTGTGCAGAAGACACAATAAACCAGGAAAAAAAGAATGGAAGTAGAGTAATTCCTGCAGCGTTATCAGTGCACACGTTTTGGATAGTCACCTTCTCTCTATTCAAGACTATTAACTCTAAATACTTTGGCTTTTTACCTCTGTTAAGTTCCAGGTGCTTAGTTTGACCAAGCCAAACCCATCAGCAATAGTTCCTGGTCCCCTTCCTCCCTCCTGGGATTGCCAAAGCCCTCCGGACAACCAGGACAGTGTTAGTGGGGTAGGGGAGGGTGGAGACATAAGGAGAGACATTGTGGGTCGCACGGAAGGTCTCCCTGGCTCAGTCTCTGACAATAACCACAGCCACTCTCTAGGAAAAACACTGTCTTAAGAGTGATAATTTTAATTTACTTAATTTTAGTTTACTTTATAGCAAGATCTTCACATCCTTTGAAATAATTTACTGTATTACAGCAGTTGTTTTCGTTTTACACTTCACATAGTTATGTCTCACTCAGAAGAATTCCTTCAGGTGTCTACTTGTAAAATACTTCTAGGAAAAAAAAAGGGGGGGGTAAATATACAGTATTTCTGGATCTTCTGGCTTCTTGTGTTCCAGCAGATGTTCAGCACACACCCTTCCACTCAGCCTTACAAAAGTTCAAGTACAGCCTCGTTTCTTAGTTCACCTTGACCACCAGTTTCGGTGTTTCTGGTGAAACTGCCAAGAGTAAAAGCCCATTTCAAGAAACCAGGGTGAGAAGTGTCTCTCTTCTGGAAGCACATGCTAACATTGAGAACATACCTGAACTTAAATCTGGAGAAGAGCTGCAAGGCAGTTTCTTCCCCAAACAAGGAAAGATCACATTATGTCTGTTCAGCATTCCAGAGCTTCCCGATTTGAGGGGTATGAGCTGGTTTGTGGGGTTTCTTGAACCAGACTGCTCAGGAGTGCTTTGTCCCCTTCAAGTCCATCTCAGAACAGATAAGAGTGGACAATTTAGACCCTTCCTAGTATTTTCTGCTCTCATTATAGCAGATCTGGAAGGTGAAGAGGGACTGTTTGGTCCTTGGTAAAGTTAGTGAAAGGTAATTTGTGGGTCTTGCCCAGGAAGTGTCCTGCATTTTGCAGCTAGGGCTTCTGGGCTAATTAATCTACAAACCTTCACTAGCTAAAACATTAAAAATAACTTGTTAACTGGTCAGTGGTTATCTAAGGATTTGTGAGGGGGAAAAATAAGGCTTTTTTGGGGAGAAAATGTGACTTTTCTAATTGAAATTTGTATTTCAGGAGGGCTTTTTTGGTAGTTTCCATCAGAACCCTTCCTTGTTTGAGCCATCAGTGTAAATGTGTTAAGTGTTAGCCCACTGTAACTTTAATGTCCTGTAAACGATGGGAGTTTTCCTGGAGGGGGTAAGATTTTATGTTTTTGAGGTTTTGGGGTTTGTTTTTTTTTTTTTTCTCTGTTGAATTGTGGCAGAAAGTGGCAGAAAGTGGACAGATGAAATGCAATTTAAAGAAATCCTTGCTTTGAAAGTCCTGGGCAAGTAAAACTTCAACATGGGTGAAAACTGGAGCCCTTACTTATACTTTGTAAATTTTCTTGTATATAATATGTATCAATTATTCTATTAACTTTAGGAAAAAAAAAGATTAAACTGAAAATTTGAATAGTGTGAATGGAATAGTTTGCGAATGGTGGGAATTAGATGGCCCCAGCCTGAGCAACAATGTTAATATCTAATTGTTCTATAAATTTAGAGTATTAATGGCAATGTCATTGGTATGATATTAATGCTAGCAATCAAGTAGATTGAGTGTGTCTTTAAATTTTTTAAGCAACTTCTGTGCTGAGCTTCCTCTTTTAAATAAAACATCTGGGGGAAAGGGTTTATGAAACTTCAGTAATGCTAAAAAGGTGATAATGCAGTTGCAAATTCATGGACTCATCAAGTCAGTCTCTGTAATAAACAGGTTCTGTAACGTGCTGTGAGAATTTTTCTGTTTAAATGTCAGACGTAGGTTATATCACTTTTTTTTAAAATTATTTTTTTGAATGTGCAGAAGTTTGGGATGTTTTGAAAGTTTATCCCACTTGGGAATCTTTGAAGGTGGTGCCTTTTTTTTTTTTTCCTCCAGTTTTCTTGCATAGATAAATAAAATTTTCAACCTTTAAAGCCAAAGTGGAACTCTCTTAAACTCTTCAGTCAGCCTCTGAGATGGAGTATTCTCTGAAGGATCAAAGATAAAATTTCTTCAAAACAGTTATGTCAACCTCTATGTTTTTTAAAGTTACTTTTAAAAAAGACTAGTGAAAGTAAATACCTTAAATTGTCTGCTTGATATTTATTCTCTGGAGATGTCACTTCACACACTTTTCTTTATAGATAGGTAACTGATCTTCATGAATAGGAAGTTATAAAGTTAAGCCTTTAATATTGTGTTTTCTTCTTTGTTTTAACAGCTCAAAGGGAAGAGAAAAAGCATGAAGATAGAGCAGAGTCTGTGTCAGCATCAAAGAAAGTTGGTGCATCTATAATGGAGAAGCAGACATCTCTCACTAAAACTCTTCCTTCAAAGAAGTCCCCAGCCTTCTCTAGCACATCACTAACTAAGCAACCACTTAAACCTTCTGCTGGAAGTTTCAAAGGTGTAATTCCCAAGAAACCTTGGCCTTCCTCAGGCAGTGTTCCTTCATCAGGCGCTGTTCCTTCGAAACATTCAGCTCTTTCTCATGGCTCAACAGTTTCCAAAAAACCAACTACATCTTCCAGTTTGGGTGGAGGACTCAAAAAACCTTCACCATCTTCCATTTCTGCTGCATCTGGAAGTAGCCAAGCAAAAGCATCAGTTACCCCTATCCAGACACAACCCAACTCACAGATTCGACAAAATATTCGACGGTCCCTAAAAGAAATTTTATGGAAAAGGTGGGGAATTCAAAGCACTTATTTTCTATAGGAAGCTACAACTAGATGTAAATGTTTAGGTAGCAGAGTTTTGTTTACTTCTTGATAAGGGATATTGAGGGACTGAATTTATTCTACAAATTACAAGTATAATTAGCATTTCAGGTTTATGTTTAAAAAAAAAAAAAAAAAAACCACCAAAATCCTGATATAAAATAACTGTGCATGTGAAAAAGCCTTAAAAAAAGCCCCACCAAAAAACCCTTCACTATTCCATTTCTATTGAGGTAATTACAGTTGACGAACTAAATTACAGCACTGAAGCTTTTATAATGCAGGTGCTCTGAAGCTTTAAAATCTGGTGATCACAGTGTTTGGAGATGAAGAGGTTGTAGGGAACATAGTAGAGGAAATATCATAGTGAAAGGTTACAGGCTTGCTGAAGTAGAGAGTCTCTCCCCTCCCAATATAAAAATCAACAACAAACTGTGTTCAGTGGACAACTATCAGGAAAGAAAGAAAAAAAGGCCCCAAGCAGACAGAAGCAAGTTGTTCCATGACAATTATTGAAGCTCATGCCAGCGATCAATACCTGCTACAGAGCACTGTGCTCTGGTATTGTTGCCCATGGAAGTTGTAGATGCCCCCTCCCTGGAAGTGTTGAAGGCCAGGCTGGATGAGGCTTTGAGCAACCTGGTCTAGTGGAAGGTGTCCCTGCTGATGGCAGGGGGGTTGGAACTGGATGAGCTTTAAGGTCCCTTCCAACCCAAACCATTCTGTGATTGTCTCTGAAATGGAAATGCTGTTCACAGTGGAAAATCTAGGACCAAAACTCAAGTGCTTGGGCTCCCCGTGTCATTTCGGCAGAGAAGCTCCTGATTTCAGTGCAGGAGTAGTTGGAAAGGCTGACAGCAGTTCACAGCTCAGTGTCCTGAGAGAGCCTTTAGCTTTGGGATGTCTCTTAAAGGGGTCTTGAGTTCTCATTTAGTGAGGAGGAGCCTAGGTTAGCTCCTTCCTCTGAAAAGATAAGGTTTAATGATTGCTACTGGAAGATTCATGCCTAACATAAATGCATGTACCCTTTTTTGTTTTTAACAGAGTCAACGATAGCGATGATCTGGTCATGACAGAGAGCGAAGTAGGGAAAATTGCTCTCAATATTGAAAAGGAGATGTTTAATTTGTTTCAAGTTACGGACAACAGATACAAGAGTAAATACCGTAGCATCATGTTCAATCTCAAGGACCCCAAAAATCAGGTTTGGAATTTCCTTAAACAGTAAATATATACTGAAAAATACTTTTGGTTTTTAATTATACATCAAATTCTGCTCTCAACGTTAAGAGCTTCAAGATAGAGACTTATGAATTATACTATAGAAGATTATTATAAAGCTATTCAAATCTTTAAAAGAAAATAATTATCCACTAGGAATTTGAAGTCTACTTGGTCATGTGTATTTATTAAGTTTGGGCATTTGGTGTGAAATATTTATTTACAGATTGGCTTTCTTAAAATATATTCATACTTTATTAATTTTTCCTCTTGTGACATTCTGTAGTATGTGTTGGATACTGCCCATATACATGATCATATTTATGCTTTAGAAGAAAAAAATAGATGCTGGTGCAGATAAAAATATCCACTAGAGAACATTTGAAACTTCTTTCTTTTATTTATTTATGTTTTTAATTTCTACAAGAGATATGAAACAGGAGAGCGGCTGCTCAACTTCTGACATTCCTATTCAGTTATATTGATAAATATTGATGATAATGAGGAAAATTCATACTTTGTGTTTGTTTCATCCTTATTTTCTGGTTGCTGCACCTGTCTAAATGTGCTTATAAGTAGCCAGTATTTTTAATAGACAGTTAAGAAACTGGAACAGATTTTGCCTTTTCGGCGCTGCAGATCTTGTTAGTTACCCAAGCAGGTTCTCTTCAGCATGGCAACAAAGTCTGTTTTGTTTTCAGGGACTTTTTCATCGTGTTCTTCGGGAGGAAATCTCACTGTCCAAACTAGTGAGAATGAAACCAGAAGAACTTTTATCTAAAGAACTGTCTGTATGGAAAGAGAAACCAGCTAAAGCAGTAAGTAACATAATTTTTCTCCATGTCCTTAGATAGGGATTAAGAGGGAGTTTGCCAGCCCTTACTACTCACATTATGTGAATGCACTGTTTTCTTCCTAATGAAATACTAATGTTCCATTTCTATATCCTTTTTTGCTATCACCACACAAATGATAACAAAGTACAGAATAAAATTATAAGATAAATATGAGGGCTTTTTACCAAAATGGTTGTGTTTCTTTCAGATGATAGAGTCAAGAAGCAAATCGCATGAAATCAAGAAAACATCTGTAAAACGAGAACATACACAAGTTGTAAATATGGAAGATTCTCCACCAGTGTCTGATTCTGATGTAAGTATTGGCTTCAGCACGAAGACATCAAGGGAGAGAAATCATAACTAGGGCCTCAAATTTTTAATCAGAAGTGCAGATTGTTTCAATGACCTTGCAAGGATATTACCACCTATTAGATGTGCTATGAGTGTTTTCCCTTTCAGTTTGAAGGAGTACAACAATGAAATGATAGGCATGTTTTGCATGCACTTCTAAAATGCTGTGCATTTTTCAGCCCTTGCTGTCAGTTTACAGAGAAATCTTTTATTTCTGAATGTTAGCTATCTGCATCAGAACACCGTGGAATGAAATGAGGACAAATATTATTTGAGAACTCTATCTGACATAACATGATATGCTTTAACTAAGGCCTTTATTTTTTTTTTTTTTAAGAACTGATGTCAATTAACAGTTTCCAATATATTTTTAAATTGTAGAATTACTGATCAACTGGAATATTTTTTTGTGTTTATTCCCTTTTAGGAGCAGCAAGAGTCAGGCCGATCTGCCCCAAATTTAAACAGTGCTCCTTCTCTAGATGTTTTTAGCAGTATGTTGAAGGACACAACAAGTCAACATCGAGCCCATCTTTTTGACCTGAACTGCAAGATCTGTACAGGTATCTACAGTGCTGCCTTTGTGCCAAGTACAAGAATTGTTGAGAGTTTTGTTTATTTGTTTGTTTTTATCTTCAAACTATTTCAATGTTAAATAGTAATCAAAAGCTTTTGAAATAAACTTATAGGTCAGATTTCAGCATCTGATGATGAAGTACCACCTAAGAAGATGAAGTCCATGGCTTCTGTTAAAAAGGTGGAGTCGAAATCAAAACCAGAAGTTCAGCCAAAGTATGAAAGTTCTGCACCAACCCCAACAGCAGAGCCTGTCAAAGAGGCCGTCTCTGAAACCCCAGTGGAAACTGAAGTTGGACCAGTAGCAGAAACAGTTTCTCAGTCAAGCGTAGAAAGAACTTACGTTCCTACAACCCAGGGCCACAGCAATACAGATCCTTCTGCACCTGAAGAGACTTCTGTTTTTCCTGCCTCTTGTGCTGGTGGAGTTGTCACAACCGTAACAGTTTCTGGCAGAGACCCTAGGACAGCAATGAGCAGCTCCTCTGGTATTGTGACACCAGCCCTGCGTTCTGGTCCTGCATCTGAGAAAGTTTCAACAGGAGAAACAAAACAGGAGACTTCAAAACCGGTTATGACTGTCCCCAAATCTATATTAACAAAACCATCATCCTCACCAGATCCAAGATACTTAGCAGTTCATCATTCACCCAATATCAAGTGCGTATACTTAATAGTAAGCCAAGCTACTGAATCTTTAATGTGGTTATCTTCAAAGTCTCATGTGTCCCATGTCCTCTTCCCCTCCTCCCAATCAAAAGGCTTGTTCAACTTTAAAGTTCAGGTAGCAGGATTCAGATTTTTAATTTACCATCTCCTCATTTACCTTCTCTAGTTGGTAAAATTTTCTGAGCATCAGTGTATGAGGACAGCAAAGATTCTACAATGCATTTCAGCAGATAAATAAAACTTGAAGGTATTAGGCAGGCTTAGAAGTCTGCACGTACATTAATATATAAGTGAGTATATGTGAGAGATGGTTTAAAGGCATTTCCAGATTAAAATACTGTTCCATCTGAATTTATGGATATGAATTAAAATTAGCCAATTGATCAGCTTGAAATGAAGTGGATTTCTTTCCTATTCTGGGTATGTACAATAGTAAAATTAAATATTGCAAAGTATATCCTTATGAAACTGCAGTTAAAAGATTTTTGTTCATAGCAAATTCTTTTACTTGAGAATCTTTTAGACACATACTGTTGATTCAGTTAGTGGGAAATATATAATTCAGATTAGTTTTTATAGAGTTAGGATCACAGCAGTTATAATGCTAATCTAATTTTAAAGTCCTATCTTTTGACATCTTTTTCTTGCCTGCTTGCAGCTACAAGTTTATTTTCTGTTACTCCTTGCTTTTTTCGCTAGTACCAAGTTAATGGAAAATATTAACAAAGCATTTAGTAAAAATTCTGTTTGTTTAAAAGAAAGTATTTGATCAATAGAAGGAGGGAAGAAAAGAACAAAAGAAGGGACCGTTCTCATGTGTATTCTGTAACCTCTCTGTTTTGGATTTGTTTTGCAGCGTTGCAGAGCCGCGCTCACCTCAAGACAGCGATACTTCCCACTTTCTCTCTCGTCTCAACACCATTTGGAAAGGATTTATTAACATGCAGAGTGTGGCCAAATTTGTCACTAAAGCATATCCTGTCTCCGGGTGTTTTGATTATCTTAGCGAGGTTAGCGCTGATGTGTTTGTGTTTAGAATAAATCTGTACTGCGGTGCCTGTTGCTGGAAAGGTTGGGGTCACTACATTTATATGTTGTTATATTAGAACTGTAGCAGTGGGAATCCTTTAGTAATCCCTTTAGTAATGGGAAAAGTAGATCAAGGAAAAAAAAAAGGAATTTAAAAATTCCTCACAAATTTGTGATGACTTCTCATGTCTTTAAACATTTCTACACGTTAGGATCTAACATGGAGTAACACCTGTATTTCAGCTTCACTTTTGGAAAAGAAGTTTTAGAGCCAGTATTTTAAAGTAGATGTCTTGTTCTGCTCTAGAACTAGATGAGTCACTAATGTGATGAATTGCAAAGTTTTGTTTGGCCAGTTAGGAAAAATACAATCCTTTTTACTAATTTTCAAATAAAAACAGTTGGATGCTGTTGTTCTGGGAGGGTGTGCCTTCAAACAATGAGACAGTGTAAAGGTTTGCACTAAAACAAATAAGCTTTTCTTTATCTCTTTTTTTTCTTTTTTTTTTCTCTGAAATGCATTTTACATGACTGTTAGGAAGTTTCAAACACAAATGTGTGGTTTAGGACTTTTATTAGTAGGATTGGTGGTTCTTTTTTGTATTGCTTTTGTTAAAATGGGTTTCGGTGTCCTCGTGACAGGAAGCTCACTAGAATTCATGTGACTTGTAGTCACGAGTGCAGCATTTCCTGAGAAACTGAAAGTGTGGAAAAAACAATCTGTATTTCAAATAGCAGCTTCCCTATAAAAACAACACAAATAATGGGCATACAGGACTATTGGATAATTTGCTGCTATCCTTGTTTGGGAATGGTTTTTCTGTTTCATATATACTGATAGCCTTTTAGTAACATGCTGTAATTAAACTCCTTGAAATTTAGAAATAGCTTGTCTGAAAGTAGAAAAGCATGTATGAAAATTTACTAAAATATAATAGTGCATTATCTATTAGGCTACTGGGATGGGGCAACCTTCAAACATTAGTCTCTTGGTTTTTCTCATACTACCATGTAATACTTTTTGTTTAGGATTTACCAGACACAATTCATATTGGTGGGAGGATCTTGCCGAAGACAGTCTGGGATTATGTTGGCAAACTCAAATCTTCGCTTTCTAAGGTATTCAACTTAAAATCCTTTGCAAAACCAAGAAGAAAAGTACAGCAATAGAAAATGATGACTTTTTATAATATAAATTAGTAAATGGCAAATACTGACATAGATCACACCTTGAAAACGACCAACACCACTTATTCCTTTAAAATTTTTGCTTTATTGAAAAAACATATTTATTGAGCTGCAGATGCTCTTGATCTCACTGTCCTGCACAGTAGTTAAATCTTCATGCTAATTGTTCATTTTTAATGAGTGAACATAAATAATCTATTTATTCAGTATTGAAGATTGAAAATAAAATTTTAAAGAAAAGGAACTTATAATTTAATGGATGTAATAGATTTTGCTATTAAAAACACTTCAGAAGTGAAAAAAATACACACAATATACAGATAAAATCATGAAACTTAGAATTTTCCTTTTCTTTCATGTAAATCTGAGCCTCGAGATGTTCAGTTTGATGTAAGATACACAAGTCATTTGTATTCTGAAAATGACAAACTTAATCCTGCTTTAATGTTACAAATTGAACAACAGTACTCTCTTGAAGCCAGAGTATTGCCTTGAAAAGATAGTTGGAGTGATAAATGTACAATTTAATTTTACCCCTGGAATTTGCCCTTTACCATTTTATTTGCTGGTATGTTTCAGGTTGAATTTTTCCACTTTGCTTTTGTATTACAGGAATTGTGTTTAATTCGTTTTCATCCTGCAACAGAAGAAGAAGAAGTTGCCTATATCTCCCTCTACTCCTATTTTAGCAGTCGTGGTCGTTTTGGTGTTGTAGCTAATAACAACAGACATATCAAGGATCTCTACCTGATCCCCCTGAGTTCTAAGGACCCAATTCCTTCCAAACTCTTGCCCTTTGAGGGACCAGGTAAGCACAAAACAGGGGAGGTTAAATCCTAGGTAAAATCACAAACCAAAAATCAATCTGACACGAGTTGTTGAATGTTTAATGGAAACATTAATATTTTTTATTATATATAAAAGCTATTTAAAAGTATGTAAATAGGGAAAAATGGGAAATACAACTCTGAAGATAAAATTGTCTGAAATTTAGATAGCCTTTCCAACAAGATACTCTTAGGAGAATGAGTTTACCTATAAAATCAAGTGTGTGGAACAGCCACAATATTGAAAAAAAACCCAACCAACAAACAAACCCCACCCTTTCTTCAGCAACCCATAAATCCACAAAACCAGGGCACTTACAAGCCATTCACCATCACTCAAATCAAGCAGGAAACTTAACCCACAGAGGAGTCAAGAAGTCTGTGAAGACAAAGGTAATATTTCTAGTGGTTTCACTGCATTGTCATTGTCTCATGCAGAGTATTACTCTGTACGTGCAATACGGTGCACGAGGTGTTGGAAGTGTTTTGTTCTATTGGAGCAAACTCTGTGATTTGGCCAAATCACTGACTTCTGAAAATAGGTTCGATGGGGGGAAAAGGGATCCACTTTCCTTAGGATTAGTAGGTGGCACACAGTAGTTGGTATAGGCAGGTTATGTTATAATCTTCTACTTTTAGATAAAATTACCAGTAGTAATGTTTGACTTGAGTTTGCTCCATGTTTGTACATTGAACACGGTGACAGAAGAACTGAGAATGAATTCAGCCATGCAATACCCTTCTGTTACAAACTCTGAAATAATCTTAACCTGAGGATGGCAGAGGTACATGTGCTTAGATTCCAAATAAATATCTGAGGTTTTATGTAAAATAACTGATTGAGAAGCTGAAGAACTCCAGGTTACAATGAAGGCAATACTTCATTGTCATAACAATGGTTTGGAAAACATTAAACGGTAGGTATGAAACAGCAAACGTGCAAGGAGCTGACCTTTCTGAGAAGCTGACTGTCCTCTACTCCTCAAATACAGGTGTAAGACTAAACTCAGTAAATCATTCTCAGAGTTTATATGCAGGAGCAACAGTGTCTGGAACAGGTTTTCATGTGCTAATGGCATACAACTTCAGCAACAAATGATACATCATTAGTAAAATGTTCTCCCTTCCTCAGTGAGATTGCAAAGGGCACTTGCTGTGCATCCCCAGATTTTTTTCTCATACACTTCCAGTCTGGCTTATCTGTCCTTGAACAGTGCACAATCTAGGTCATTGTTTTTAGGCTATAGCTAAAAAGGCAGGATTAATATGATCTAAATTATAGCAATATTGCTATAATTGTTGAATCTCAGCACCTCATAGTTTTTAACTTACTGAATTCTTGATGGGTGAGCAAAAACTGTTATTCCAGTTTCATAGCCAAGAAATGAAAACGCTAAGTGCAGAACACTTTTGGCACAGGGATGGAGGCAGAGTCTTAACTCATGGATGAGTATTTCCAGCTAGAACAAAAGAAATACCTTCCTTTCTGGACAGTAACAGGAGAATGGGATTGGCCATTGAATCAGCTGCAAATGTCTGCAGCCTTTTGCTGGGCTAATAAATAACCTGCGTTAGGGAGGCACGGACGTTGCCTGCTGGCTTTCATTCCTGTGGAGAGAACAGCTTTCCTTTTTACACTTCCTTTGACTTTTCCATTATAGGTTTCATTTCAAATGAAACTCTTCTCTTAGATTGGAGGTTGGCAAATGTAGATAAACTCTGCAAAGTATTAGCATAGGAATTTGTAAGGTCAGCCTGGTTTTGTGCTGAGTTTCAAGTGCACAAGTTTCTCAAAACTGAAGGGAATTGCTCAGAAGAAACACAGGTGTCATTTGCAGATGTTGCTCACGGAGGCAAATCTTATGAGGCAGGTTTTCAAATTGAAATACATATTTGTAGGCAAAGTGAATTAAAGGATAGCAATAGATACAAGGCTCCAAAAGCTGAGATGTAACAGTTCCATAGCAGACTCACTTACACTTCTGCCATCAATTCACACTTCTTGGAAACTTCTGTAGCAGCCTTGACCTCAGAGTTGTGCTAAGTTGTGTTCATGTTTTAAAGCCAGATCAAGTGGGGGGGGACAAAAAAAAATCAGGTAAGCTGTTTTTCTGGTTTTATGTATGTATCAAATCCACATGTAATCCCTACTTTTTAATGACATCTGATGGAATTTACTGCTTTTTCTTTCTTTCATAATCAATAAAAATATTTTATGGAAAGTGGTCATTGTCTCCTTAAATTTAACTGTGTGCCTTCAAATAGAGTTTAACAAGGACTCACAAAGCATTATGCTTTAGGTAGCTTAGGGTGAGACTAGAGGGGGGAGGAGGGAGAGGACAATAAACCCTGCCACTCCAGAAATCCTAGTTAGAAGATATTCCAGCTGTATCAACCAGTTCCATCAGGCATGCATGGATTCTGAATTTCTCCTGTTTTCTGATGGACTGGATGGAACACAACTGAGGACTTCTGAACTGCGCTAACACTTAGAAGATCTACAAAAAACTTTGACATGGGTGATTTAAAACCAGAGGAAAATGGAAGGTTATCCCTATTTATACTTAATTCATCAGACATTTACTACCAGATTTAATGAATCAGTGGGTTCTTCTGCATTGGCTTTTTGCAGTAGTTTCCTGTATGTTAATTTATCTGTTTCACATACACACTTAATGTTATTTAGCACTTTCATCTGTAGATCTCAAAGCACTTTGTAAAAAAAATAGTATAATCAGACCTAATTACCAATAGAAAGTGGTTTATTGAGGGATTTAGTGGCAACGTTGGGAAAGTAACAAGTATCTTACATAGTTCAAATAAATAAATTTTAATAAAACAGCCATAT